AGAGGGAGAGAGAGAGAGAGAGAGAGAGAGAGAGAGAGAGAGAGAGAGAGAGAGAGAGAAGCTATTAGAATAATGTGCTTACTGTGTCCGGCATATTACTATTCAGAATCATACGAATAAATAAGTGAGGAATAATCACTAATTCACCGTCTCCTTTCTACTAGGATATTATATTTTCCTCGCTTCTTATCTTTTCTCTTTTTTCTTCTCTTTTCGTCTTATTTGATTTATTGATCCGTCTGCTTCTTTCATATTAACCTAGAACGGTCAGAACTCTCACAGGATATAATTATAAGTACACGTTTTCTCGATAGGAAATACACCCAACCAAGTCACTAATGACGTCGAGCCACGAACGACGACCCTGAGTCGTTGGCCGGACTTTTGGGATACTGGAACTTCACTTTCGGTCTAGACATTAATCGAATCTTTAATTTCTAGGGAGAAAGAGCCTCCGATAGTCGTGACACGGCAAGCGAATTACGAAGAAATCAACGCGGCGAGCAGAAGGAAACGAAATAGGCGAAAGAAGGTCGCACCGTTCTATTCGCCGCTACTACCTACCGATCACGACTCCAAGCAGCATCCTCGAGCGGCGAAGAATTCAAAGATGAAGGAAACTTTACGAAGCAGACGAAAACCTCGAACGAACTCGAAAGCAAAGCCGCTGATCGCCTGCGAAGAGGCAAGCGAGGATATCAACGATTCGTCCGTCTGTACGAGGAAGAGGATGAGGATGAGGATCAGGAGTAGCAGGAGGAGGAGGAAAAGGAGGAGAGCGCGTAGTCAGATAAAGACGAGGGAAGCCGTAACGAGCGGAAGCGACGAGGACGAGCACGGGATCTTCGAAGTGTCCGAGATGTCCGGGATGTCCGGGATGTCCGAGATATCCGAGATGTCCGAGACGTTCGAAGGTGAATCGGATTCAAATTCAAATGGCTTCGTGGAGCAGGAGGAGAGTTCGGGGCAAAGAAAAAGAAGCAAGAAGAAAGGAGGATACGCGTGCCCGATTTGCGAGGTCTCCTTCAAGCTGCGAGGCCTCTACAATAAGCACATGGTCACGCACAGCGACATGCGACCTTACGAGTGTCAGACGTGCCAGAAGAAGTTCAAGTACAACTTTGGCCTTAAGAAGCACACGAAGGAGCAGCACAGTGATTCGGCGCCGCTTTACGCCTGCAAGATGTGCGAATTCACGACGAAGCACTATCCCTACCTGCAGGAGCACTTTACGCGGAAGCACACAGACGACTACAAGTACAAGTGTAACTTTTGCGGTAAGAAATTCAAAGTCGAGCCCGACTACAAGGTTCACATGTCGGACCACGAGACGGGACCACAGGTCTGCGACATCTGCGGCGTCTCCTACCCGAACAAGAGCTCCCTCTATTATCATCGTAATTACATGCACACCGAGAAGAAAAAGTCATTCGAATGCAAGATCTGCAAGAAGAAGCTGCAGACCGAGAAGAATCTCGAAAGTCACATGCAGCAGCACGAGCAAACATACGTGTGCGAGGAGTGCGGCATGAAGTTCGCTAGGAAGTACGGACTTACGAAGCATCGGCGCGTTCACACCGGGGAGAAGTCTCACCTGTGCTCCGTCTGCGGCAAAGCCTTCGCCTGCATGGCCACCCAACGAGTTCACTTTCTGACGCACGCCGGCGTCAGGCCTTACGTCTGCGACGTTTGTGGACTCAACTTCACACAGCGATCGTCCCTCATGCTTCATTGGAAGAAGAAGCATCCCGATGCCAGTGATCCGCCCCCACCCGTAACCCTCAAGAACATACTCGAGACTATAAAATCTAATATGGATTACGACGGAAAGACCGCCACCAACCAGTAGTGCACTGGAGTGAACTTTTTCTTCCTGCCCTTCTATTCCGCCACGCACATGTGATATCGCGGATGACGAACGATGCATCCGAGAAGAACCGTTGCCGAAATGTCCTATTATGTCCTATGTCAATGAGCATAATGTAAAGTTAGTTTAAACCACTCGACTTACGTGCGACTTACGTGCGCGGGGTAAGTAGTAATCTTGACCTGCATTCGTGATTACGTAAATTATTCATATACATACTGAGAACTAGCATTACGCCTAATGTATGACAATATGGAGATAATTTCAAGCCCTCAATTTCCTCCTACTTTTTTAGCATTGCAGACTTTTATTCGAAAATCATTATTATGACTTTAAACAGGAGTTCTTCGCCCTCCATCTGCGCAAACTTCTCTTGGCGTCGTTAGGCCTTAATCTCAAGAGACTAATAGTGGGGCGGGTATCATCGTGACTATCGTCAAGGTTTAACATTTCTTTCTCCTGAATCCTTTTGAATCTTCTTTAATGCATATAGCGTTCAAAGGTATGAAAAGTGTAAAATTTCCCATTTTGGAATCGCTGATTTTGAAAAACTTGTAACTTACGAGTGCTGAATCGCATTCTAAGCTCTTTATAAAAAAAACTCATTAATCTCCGAAATTATCCCCAGTGTTTCGCGTAAATTCGCTACTAAAAACGAGCCGTGTATACATTCCGAAGTGTATTGCGAAAAGAAATAAAAACATCCTATCTTTTGAATCATTCGTGAAACATGGACACTCTTTATTCACTTGTAAAGTCTTACTGAGGACTCGAAAGAAATATAGCCGCAACGCGTACCCTTAGAATATAATATATAATGTCCGGAGATAATAATTTTTTATTTATGTCCTTTATTTCTCTTTCCACATATTCCCCATCTCCGTGACTCATTTTCTTCTAATATCAAGTCAATGAATTTCATTGTAGCAAATCTTTTGAAAGTGCGGCCGTCACGATGAGGGGAGCTTCGACGATTCTTTCGAATCTCTTGGATTTTCTTTTTTTTTTTTCCTAAGAGAGAAACATCCGAGCGCACGTATAAAATATATTACCTTCGGGAAAGCGTAAGCTCAAGAGGCTTCTATTTGCTTTGGAGTTTGCACCCTGCGCGCCTTCGAATAGAACGAAGATGCAAATCTGTGATACATGTAGTAGCTATAAGTATGCCGAGGATACCACGGAGGTTAGTACCACGTTCCTTACGTAACCTTACGCGCCAACGTTCTTACGATTACGGTAATCGCATCGGTGCGCCAAAATAAATGGAAAAATATTGCACGGTCAATAAATATAGTCGCGTGCAGCAGTGTCACGTGCTCATTAATTATACGTCGCAATCATTCTCCCCGTTTCGTTACCCTTTAAAAAGAAATCGATTTGCATATACGTGCAGCTGCAGCTGCAGCTGCACGGAATCGATCACGCGTTACTCGACTGATCGAACGATTAGCTTGATCTCGGAATCCCAATTGACATCAGTTATTCGTGTTTTAGGAAATCACAGGACTGTTTAGTCAAGAAAAGTAAACCTCTGGGCATCGTCAGGGTGAAAGGCGAGTATCAGCTCCTGCCGGAAGACCATAGACGCATCACAAGAAAGTGTTCAGGATCGACAGTGCGTGCAGATGTGCTAGTGGAATTGGCGAAGAAGCACTCGTACTGCAAAAGATTCAACACAGCAGAATGTTCGAAAGGAGGTTGGCAGGATTCATACGTATCGACGGACGCGAACGCTCAAATTACGAAGGTTCACGCCGATCAGGACGTGGCCGAAGAACGCGTGACGGGCGATGAAAAAGAAAAAGAAGAAGAGGAAGAAGAAGAAGAAGAAGAAGAAGAGGAAGAAGAGGAAGCGGAAGACGAGCTGCGAGTTGCAACGGAGAAGCTGAACATTTCCTGGACGAGGAAAAAGTCGAGAGGCAAGCTAATCGCTTTTGGA